GGGAGCCTTAATTGTACTGTCGTATTGCGGCTCTATTTTGTGTCACAGGTTGTTTGTAACAGAGATGTCAGGAAAGTAATGAGCCTCCATCAACTAAACCACAAATATCATAGACTGTGTGTGGAATGTGGCACAGCATTGAGGTACTACGTGGAAGCCTTACTGAAGAGATCCAGGACCAACCTAGTCAGACAAGCTGAGCGTTGCTGCCATGCCATCTGTCTGGGCAAATGTCCCAACGAAGTGGCAGACGACACGTGGTGTCGGCCATGTGACCGGGTGAATGAAGACATCGATCAAGCTAGCCACCATCGCAACGGTTTTGCGAGTCTGCGAAGCATCCACTCAGTCAGACAACAGTCCAACAAACAGTAGAGTACATCTGCCTATCAACTTCGACAGGACACTGAATTTTGACTTCACTGGATGTGGTCCGTATGGGAACACGATCGCGCCCGGTCAGCGAGATTTTATCCATGGGTATTGCTTTGAGACAGCTGACTCAGAGCGACCATGGACAAAGGCATTGTTCAAAGGCCAGTGACTCGGAGCTCGTTGCGATTTGCGGGATATTGAAGACCAGCCGGGCGAAAGGATGACGGGCTCGAGTAAAACGCCGGGTCTTTGGTCCGAAAAGTAGACATCCAACCTGACTATAGGCAAAGAATTGAAGGTTGGTTGATGCTTCATTCTCGCAGCGCGCTTGTTGTAGCTGTTTCACTGTTATTTCCGATAGCGCTGTTATCTCTATCTGAAGGTTAGATTTAGGGGAAGACGAAGGCGACCCTGGAGCAGACCATGCAGGACTTGCAATCAGGAGCAAACACACTTGATAACGCAAAGTAGAGCCGTCACGGCTGCCGATGTTATGCTCTCTTTTCGCTGTTAGTTAGAACTGCAAGGAGTGATGGCCCTGGTGGACCATCTGGCAGTTGTAAGGGTCGGGAGTCGTTTGCGGGGTCAGGCCTACGTATGATACTACGTATGATGTAGATGATTCATTTAGACATGTAGAGCGGGCGACGATGTCGTCGTTTCATCTTCGTTGTATTGCTGGCTGTGTTTTGGATGATCAGGCTGGCGGTCATATGCTAGTGACAAAATGATCCGTTGATGCGCCGGGATTTCTGCGATTCGCGCAAGTAACAGCAAAGCCCGTTAGACTGCTTAAATCCTGAAGGTACGTCTTTAGTTTACACTAGCCCACCCAATTTCACCCTTGTCCCATGAACCAGTCTGGTACGATCAAAAGGTGTGAAGGCCCTGGTACCATAACAAACACGCGGTTCTGAAGCCGACAGGGCTGAGCAGAAGAACTACTCACCGTCGTCTTAATCGCGGGAGCTGTATCCGCATTGGAGTTGAGGGTAACTTGTGACCCATGGTGTCTTTGCCACGGCCGCCCATGATATCGAGGCCAACTTGGCGTGATTATAGAGAAGAGGGCATTAGTTATGCACCATCGCTGGTCGTCTTCAGTCAAGAGGCTAGGGTGCCAAGTTGGGCCGTTCATGAGTAAGCGGCAGTGGTTTGGATCTGCACCATGATGACCACTTCAGCAACAGGTGCTCACAAACAACCGGCTCAATCGCACGATTTGTGAACCACGTGTACTGTCATAGGTCCTGCAGAGTTTCTATTCAGGAGGAACCAAAATCAACATTCAGAATGAAGCCACCTGACGGGGATTATAAGGAGCTCAAATTCGAAACGAAATCCGTCCGCTGAAAATGACTGAGTTTCTGTAGATAATGCCTTGAAATATAGTCTGGTATGATACTTAGAGACAAATGGAGCTCTCCTCCCTTAAAGAGAGGTTTGCGATGTCCAAACAACCTTCCGGTCGCAAGTCGTAGGCTAATCATGCCTTATTATTTCTCTACGTATAGACAAGTCAATAAAACCGCGAGGAAAATTGTACCCTTCAAGCTCGCTCTCGTTCGGTCCATCATATAGACAACACGTGGCAGGCACGCTTTCAGCCTTGGCCGCAGCTTCCCAAACTCCTCGCTTCTTCGACTTTCGCCTGCTATGTTTGGGAGTTTCGAAGGACATGATGTTGTATGGCGACTCAGGCGACGTCAAGCTGGCCTCATGAGTTCTTTCTGCCGAAATCGTTTGCCGCTGAGCTGCTCTGACCGTGGCTACGGATTTCCGGGGATGAAATCAAGGAAAAGACTTTCGAGACGCCATCGTCGACGTCTCTAGGGAAATTTGCTGGTTATAGATCAAAAAAAGTTTGACCGCGTCTCGGTACCATTAACGTCGGTGTTTCTGTTGCGAAGCAGTTACGTTAGACGCTTAGAGCGATGTAATGAACGCCACTTTCAATCACATGGTTATTGGACTGAGTGCATCGCATAATATATCTTCCGATTTGCCACAATTGATGGCGAATTTGGACATACATTGGACAGCCGACCGTGTTCTTGACTCTAAGTTAGTTACATCAAGTAAACACCACAGGTCGTTCAAAACTGAACACGACTATGCGGTAGATTTATCGAACTTGTCATGATACTGTTGTCACTGCATACGCTATGTCAAGTCGAGAGATCTGACACTGCCGGGTAGACGCCGAGACTCGCAACGAAAAACATATAGCAACATCAAATGCCGCTGGCAACCCAAAAAGAATACTATGCTACCGAATCATATCAAGCAACACACCTCGTCGCGTGCCTACTGTGACTGCTGATAATGAGCTACCGTTCAATTGTCCTAAGAATCAATTCACATCCATGGCTCAACGATGTGAAAGGCCGCTTCATTCGTCAAAAGGATTCTCTTCTATAAGCACAACCACTTGAAACTCAGCTTGCCTCTACACCGCTGATCACCGACGGGGATCTCGTTCGGCAAGCACTACTTGATGGCCATGACAGAAATGACAGAGTGATGAGATACGGTATTCCAGCTCTCAAAAAAGGCGCTTGTTCTTTGCATGGTAACCCCAACGTTGAGCATCGGGTACACGATGGTCTCCTCTTGTCGCACTGCTCATTTCCGCCGAGCAAGCACTGGACGCAAACCTTTCGGTGTATCAGTAAAATATTTGTTTAGTGGAATGAAGTCCTGCCCACCGATGGAAGTTGCTCATCGAAGCATCTGGGGGCACCGCAGATACTGTCACCATCTGCAAAGGTGCTCACATGAGCCATTACGCCAACGGATCTACCCGCAGTCTGATCTGTGGTATCTTTACCACGACGCGTTTTCTTCCGTGCGGGTAGAAGATTGTTCGGCTTGCGTGTGGCTTTACGGGGTACACCGCCGGAGGCGACTGCCTGTCTGTGGTAAAAGCTTGTGGGTGACATTTTGTGGATGAATTGGGATGGCAGCTGCCATTTTGACCGCTCGTTGAAGGTCTGAACCGAAACCTTCCGTCATTAGCTTCCAGAGCAAAAGAAGAAGGCTCACCAGCCAAGTAATCATGAGAGGTGTCCCATTAAAGAGGAAGAAAAAAAATAAGGACTTCTGCGAGCAATCGTTGCGGAGATACACATACACCTCGTTCGTGCTGAGATTGTAGCGAATCGTTGACGTGGTAGGAGTCATGTCTTCCTTGGTGTTGAGACGAACCCACTGATAGATCTCTTGCAAAGTCATTGATCGGTCGTCGCGACTCAAGAGAGCGCAACGGATCAACCCGTAGCAAGGCTGTCTGCTGCTTGTTTCCGCCGAGGCTGTCGCAGCCATTTTACTGGATTTGTGATTGATCAAGTTAAAAATTCTAGATAGATCAAGCTTGTATTGCTTCTCCAGAAAATTTGAGTGGGTGATGCGCACTTGACGTGCGTAGCGAAGGCTCAAGCATCACTCGACATTTCTGGCAGAGTTATTGAGGAATCAAGTCGTACCCTGTGCCGTAAGCGAGTGATTTTCACGGGCAATCAAACCGAAAAGCCTCATTGTTATTTCGGTGTGTCGGGGTGCCTGTGTGCACAGTCAAGTCCGCACCTATCGCCCAATGACGGAACGGCAGTTCATAACATAACGTCAGAGGATTGCGACAAAAAATGAAGAAACTGCGATATGAGCTAACAAGAATAACCCATGTTGTCTTGATTCCCGGGCTGATTTATGAAACCTTAGGTTTTGATCTTTGGCAGCAAAATCTTGATGGAGTAAGATATGACTCTATGTAGTTATTCAGATTGTAGCGACCTCTTGTATCGCTGTCTGCTGCTTAACCAGGAAGAATCAACGTAAAGTATCCGCGTAACAGCGCCTCACAATCTCCCGCTGGCCGACCGAAGTCTCGAAAAAGATATAATCTACCATCAATTGTTGCTGGCTTGCGGCCCAAATGACCCGTTCCACGAACCCAACGCCTAAGCTCCACTCATTTGGTGCGTAGGTGATATGTGATTGGTTTTATGGCACGACTCTCCTGCAGCTATAGCAATGAAAATCGACTGCGTGTTATGACGGTTACTAGCGTGAGCCACTTCACTTATAACGTTAGCTCCCGGCGCTATACCTGAAGCCAGATATTCTCACGTCATTGGCTAGCTTTCGAGGTATCCGACCCGAAGGGGTCATTGACATATTGTGTCCGTTTTAGCGAGACCTGACGTAAATGTATCAGGTTCTGGCCGTAATGCACCCCAGAGACGAGCGATATGAGGCAAGGGTCACATTCAGATGTTGGAGTGCGATGACAAAGACAGCTCGATACCATCATCAATCAGACAAAAGTAGTTCCCGGTGACTAATCATGACATCAAATTCGTCGGCGAGAAATGGCACAGCGGCG